AACTCCTTTGTGGAGAATCCTACCTCTTAAGCTGGCTATACATGGCTCAGCTTTTTCTGTTCAGCCTGTGGGCTGAACAAAAGAAACTGGACCATTTCCCCCATCTACACATTCAAGGTAGATGTGGGAGTCCTGTGGGAATCTGCAGCATCATTGTATTCTGGCAGTGGAGGGGTCCACAGTCAGGATACGCTGATCAGTGCTGCAGCCTGTCGCCTGCAGCTCTGACTGAACTAACTATCTGCAGCAGTGATTGAACTAAAGGTTTCCAGCAAGCCCATTCATGAGGTATTAATCAGTAGATTAACTGAACTCGAACAGGACCAGCCAGAGATGGATTGAAATTGCAATCTATTTAGGGTCCGCTTTACAGAACTCTATTTATTGAGAGGGCTCTCACATCCTACCATGTATTTACTCCAGTTGTCTAAATGTTTGGCGGTTTTTTTTCATTGTGCATTATACTGTATGTTTGTCAAAATTTCTCTTAGGGTTTTGTTTCTGAGAATTGACCCAGTAAACATTTCTTTTTTTTGACCCCTTTAGCTGTTAGTTCAAGGTTTTTTCTCCTGTATTGGTAGTTAGTCATGCCATCCGTTTTTGTTCTGGTGGATTATTGGTTGTCTTTCACATTGCTATTTGAGGCCTATCATTCTTCCGGTATCAGTTTTCCCTTAGTGGTATCTATCTGTCCTAGTCTGAAGCATCAGGTTAATCCTTAGTTCTGTGATCAATTCCATTTCTTTACCATTTGGCTGTGGGAATTCCTTTTTTGGTTTATCCATTGTTCAGTTGCTTATTCCTTCAGATCCCATGTCAGTATGGTCCCCACATCTTTCAGAACTTTCAGTGGCTGTTTTCCACCCTAAGTTCGAATGCTTTTGGCCATCACAGATATCTAAGAACTATTACATTCCTGTGTCTCTTATTGGACAATAAAGAAAATAAGATTTTTGTACTTACCGTAAAATCGATATCTTGAATTCCAAACACTGTGCTATTGGCCTTCTGTACTACTTGCTCACAAAAGGCAATGGGAATGATTTACTAAAGACACATAGACTGTGCACTTTGCAAAGTGCAGTTGCACTCTGCAAGAGCAGTTGCTCTAGAGCTTAGTAAATGAGCAGAAGCTCTTTTGACTTCCAACTTTTAATCATGTGCAAACAAAAATGTTGTTTTTTTTATTTTCCTTTTGCCTGATTGGGTATTCTTTGCAAAGTGAAGCTGTACCTCATTTACTAAGCTCTGGAGCAACTGCCCTTGCAGAATGCAACTGCACTTTGCAAAGTGCACAGTCTATTTGCCTTTACTAAATCAACCTCAATGAGGTGTAGCTGGGTTAACATTTATTGTTAATTTAACCTAAATGTCTAAAATTCCCATGTCCCTCTTTGGATATCAAGCAAAATATAGAAACATATTTTACATCAAGAACAAAAATCTTTTTTTTATATCTAGGCTACAGTTAGTAAAATGCTTCATGATGCATGTCGACAGAGGAAAAACTGTATTAGCTATTATTATATGAGGAAAATGATTAGCAGTTTCAAGTAAAGTACTATTTTCAAAAAATCTATGAGCTAGCAGAGTTTCCATAGGCACTGACGTTAATAGCAACAAAATTGTAGTTGCTGTTTGCAATGACAGCTGGTGGGGCCGGCATGCATGCACTTACCAATAAAATATATATGTGATGATAGGTCTGTTTTAAAAAGTAAGTGAAAAAATAAGCACTTGTTTTAAAAAGTAATGGTCTTTGATTTTGGTACCCATCAAGCAATTTTTCAATCAGGTCTGGAGCACAGCAGGCTGAAAGCTATGTGAATGTGGCTATGGCAGGCTTTAGTACTGGAACTGCCAACTGTCAGTAATAATCATCTCCTGGGCTTTTGCTTCAGCTATGGAGTACTCCAAAGAAAAGCTTGTAGTAGGAATTTTAAATACAGTGCAGAACAATGCTTCCATACCGTGCCGTGATGTGATTATGAAGCAGCTCTGTCCAGCCTCTCCCTGCAGAAGTAAATCACTGCTATAATGATCTATTTCTGGCTGAAACTATTAGATGTGACCTGTTGCTGCAAAGTTGAAAGGGGGGGGGGGCTGAATCAGGTCCCCTTATTCCCAAGGTCACACCAAATACATTAAATGTTCTGGATATCATTTGGTTTCATTGCCATTCACAAATTTAACAATGGCAAACCTGTGAAAATGTCACTGACATGCTAATTACTGTTTTTGCAAACCTGGTTTGTTTTTATTTAAGGACCTAACACACATACACCAGGAACATTGTGTACTGTGAATTAAGGCATTTTGCGTAAGGCAGCCTATTCCTTTGTAATGGATTGGCAGCACAGCCTAACACACAAAAAATTTAGCATAACTTTCTTTTAACACAACCCACCACAACACCTGCAGTGCCTTGAAAAAATATTCATACCCCTTGAAATTTTACATATTTTGACATGTTACACCCAAAAACGTAAATGTATTTTACTGGGATTTGACAGAGCTTGAGCTATTTTGCAAAGATGAATAGGCAAAAATTTCACTCTCTAGATGTGCAAAACTGGGAGAGACATCACCAAAAGGACTTGCAGCTGTAATTGCAAAGAAAGGTGGTTCTACAAAATATTGACTCAGTGGGCTGAATACAAATGCACGCCACACCTTCATATATTTATTTGTAAAATTCTGAAAACCGTTTATCATTTTCATTCCACTTCACAATTATGTGCCACTTTGTGTTGGTCTACCACATAAAATCCCAATAAAATACATTTACATTTTTGGTTGTAACATGACAAAATGTGGAAAATTTCAAGGGGTATTATTACTTTTTCAAGGCACTGTAGTGTTTGTATTATGGTGTCCTGCAGCACTTGTGCTGTTTACTCTAACAGTGTGTTGGGGTACCATTAAAAATCAATGGCATCAAAATGCATTCACAGCAGCAGCAACACATTACCGCACTTTGTGATATTACACTGTAAAACATGCCTATTAACCACTTCAATACCGGGCACTTTTACCCCCTTCCTGCCCAGGCCAATTTTAAGCTTTCAGCGCTGTTGCACTTTGAATGACAATTGCACAGTCATGCAACATTGTACCCATATGAAATTTTTGTCATTTTTTTCACACAAATAGAGCTTTCTTTTGGTGGTATTTAACCGGTTCCCACCCGGCCAATAGCACAAAGGCGGCCAGCAAAACACCTCATCCCTCTGAGTGGACGTCATATGACGATCTTTCAGGCACGCGCAGTGATCTGTCACCGGCCATGCACCTCGGACACGGCCAATGAAAGATCTGTGTACCGGCCCGTTTCCAGTGCCATGTGACCTGCTGTGACCAATCACAGCAGGTCACATGACAGTTGTATACAATGGATGGCTTCCTTTCATGCCATCCATTGTGTACTAGAGTGTCTAGCTGTGAATGATCACAGCGATCACATGCACAAGCTGGGCCAATCACACAGCCTAGCTTTGTCATGTGATTAGCCATGGCCAAATCACAGCTAAGCACAAGAAAAAAAAAGAAAAAAAAAAAAAAAAAAACCCTGAATGAATCGATGTCATTCAGGTAAATGCTTCCTTATAGCAAAGTAATTCTTTGCTATAAGCAAATTGTGTAAAAAAAAATATTGATCACTTCCCCAAAGTAGTAAAATGTTACTATGGTAACATTATACTACTTTATTCATAGTGAATTATGAAAAAAAAATCTTTTAAAAAATAATAAAAAAATAAATAAATTAAAAACAATTATCAAATTTTTTTTTCCGTACTGTCACCAGTCAGTGTCCCTGATCACTGCCATGCCAGTTATATGATGATGCTGTACTGCACTGGTGACAGTATGTAGAAAAAAAATAGTGAAAATTATTTTTTCATTTTTTTCATTTTCCGAAAAATTATGACAAAAAAATTACAACTACAAAAAACTCGCCATGCCTCTTATGAAATACGTCGGACTGTCTACTTTGCAAAAAGTGGTCATTTGAGGGATATCTGTACTGTTCTGACATTCTTGGACCTCAAGAAATTAGATTGGCCATGAGCACTTCAGGATTGATCAATTTTCAGATACAGTATATCCCATAGTTTGTGAACTCTATAACTTTGATACAAACTAAATAATACATCCTAATTTGGGTTATTTTCACCAAAGACATGTAGCAGAATACATCTCGGCCTAAATTTATGAAGAACAATTATTTATTTGCAAACTTTTATAACAGAAACAAAGAAAAACATGGTTTTTGTTTCAATATTTTCAGTCTTTTTTTGTTAATTTAGCAAAAAATAAAAACCCCAGGGGTGATTAAATGCCACCAAAAGAAATCTCTAGTTGTGTGAAGAAAATGATAAAATTTTAGTTTGAGTACAGTGTTGTATGACTGCGCAATTGTCATTCAAATTGTGAGAGCACTGCAACCTGAAAAATGGCCTGGGCAGGAAGGGGGTAAAAGTGCCCTGTATGGAAGCGGTTGATCACCACTGAGTTTTTTATTTTTTGCTAAATAAAAAGAAACACCTGAAACTTTTGAAAAAAAAAACACACTTTTCTTCGTTTCTGTTATAAAATTTTGCAAATAAATAACATTTCTTCTTAAATTTAGGTCAAAATGTATTCTGCTACATTTCTTTGGGGAAAATAATAATAATAATTGAATATGTATTTTTGTCCCGTGGACACAGCCGGTAACAGATCACGCTGCTGTGCAGCCCCGCGGCCATGTGAGTGGCTCATTTTGACAGGACGTCATATGACGCCCAGTCACAACGAGGAGTGTCCCACCCGGCCGTCAATCTGATATAGGCCAGCCGGAAAGGTGTTAACACAATAAAAATGTATGAGATGTCAAAGTGACACATAGGGCTGCGCCTTTGTGGGTTTCTTTGGGGTTCTCCAACTCTAAAGACATGCTGGTAGGTTAATTGGCTCTGGTCTAAATTAGCCTAGTATGTGTATTGTATGCATGTGAGTTAGGGACCTTAGATTGTAAGCTCCTTGAGAGCAGGAATCAGGGGCGGACTGACCACTGGGGAACTCAGGCACCGCCCGAGGGCCCGGGGTCAGTAGGGGGCCCCATGAGATGTCCATGGTACCTTTCATAGGCTTTTTTGGGTATGGTTTGAGTGTGGGCAAGGACACAGGGGCCCCATGATCCCCTATTGCCCGGGGGCCCCATGAGTTGTCAGTCCGCCCCTGGCAGGAATTGATGTGAATGTATAATACATATGTAAAGTGCTACATAAATTGATTAAATTGAGTACATTGATTAAATTGCTAAAATCTAATATAACTAAAACTAAACACCAGCATCAGTTGACTCCTCCTTGTGTTTTTAAATGTCTTCAGCAGGAGGCAAGGACAATGGAAAATATGTGAAAAGGAAATTAAAGCTTCACTGGCTCAAATGTGAGTGATAAATATTAATATGCAAAATGTTATTTTAAATTATTTATTTTTTAATCCTATCCATAATATAGAATTTATATACTATATACAAATATATTTAACTTTGGAGCAAGACCGCTGTCAGGAAATAGTAAATAGATTAGCTGATTACTTTGGAATATGTCTGCACGGAATTTTGTTTTTAATGATGAGATACAGAAAAGAAGGTATTTCCATGCTTAGGAGGTTTTGGGCACATTGGAATTCCTTTTCTCCAAGCCATGGGTACATATAAACACCTTATGGTACCTGCTTTTCTATAGTATTGCTGGTTTTATCCCCATTTTCTAAGGAAACATTTCAATTAACTGGTAGTACATGATATTTGGATATCCATTAGACCACTAGCAGGTAGCTTCTGATTTCAATTGCAGGCAGCGTTCACAGACAAGAGGGAGTTAGTCATGATATGCTTCACCCCTAGTGACACCCTGGGAGACCAAGTACACTTTACAACAGCATATTGTGCTTGCCTTCAGCTCGTCCCTCAAAGTTGAGTATCACATCTGGATTTGTTACCAAGGTTACAATAAGATTATCCTGTCTCCTTGTCAGAAATCATGCGTCTGCTAGACTGCAAAAGCTCCATGGGCTATCCAAACATCTCAATACAAAAGCAAGTCTTTCATGTTTCAACAGTCAGTAGTATTGGCAAGAAAAAACACCTACTTCAGGTAATCATGGAGCATATATCTTCCTGCACTATGAAAAAAGAAAAACAAGCTGCCACTCAATAGATATAAACACTAGGTAGACATATTTAGATGCTTTTATGAGGTTTCAAACAACACAGGCAATTGTAGGCCTATTGGGAAACATTTTTTCCCATTACATTAATATCCCTCTGTTTCTGATCTACAAATTGAGGTACAGGATTTTGAGATAGAGCACCGCCCAGACAGTGTCTAGCATCTCATTGTTTCAAAAACTTTGACAGCTGCTTATAAAAAATGAAACACAGCAAGCTTCTAGGGCAATGGACATAAAATGTACCATGTAAATTATAGACCATATGCTACATGTTTACAAGTTGTAGCTTTAATTTACAATTTGTACCATATCTTCAAACATCGAAGGTACTACAATATGACATATGGTTAAAAAAAAGCATCTTTTATGTATTATTAGACAGTGATGAAATCAAAACATACGGCCTTGCTTACAAACCATAAATAAAAAACATTTAAGAATGTCTTTAAAACTATCTTTATAGATCTTTAGAAGTACAAAAGAAAGACAAGGAAGTTTCTTTCAGCAGTCCAGTGCAATGAAAACAATACAATATATTTAACAAAATATATTGAAATAGGGTGCAGTAAAAAATACCCATAAGATTTAACTTATTACAGTTAGGTCAATAAAGTTCCAATGTGCTATTGCACTTTTTCATATTGGCATTGGTTGTTTACTGTCTAAATCATTGGTCTTCAAGCTTGTAGGCCAGATGTGGCCCTTTGCTTGCCCTTATTCAGCCCTTGGGGCACTATGGCCCCCACTGACAGCAACAATGGGAAACTATTTCATCCACTAACCCTAGGGATAAAGCACTATTCCTCCCACTGAAACCAATGACGAGAAACTATTTCTCCCAATGATACTAACAAACGGAACTTTTCTTCCAACCAATACAAATGATGGTACACTATTCCTCCTCCTAATGACCATAGAACCATGTAATTGTTTTGACTCCCACTGACTGCCTCTGGCACTGTGCCCACAGTTTAGGACCTTAACCTAAGAACTAAAGCATGAAGGAGAGCAAACTGGCATTCTGTTGAGAAAGTTTGGAGATCCTTGGTCTAAATGGAAACATCTTTGAAGGGCATAGTTTAGACAGCTGTTGGATTGACTTACCTTTGGTATGCTTTGCGTCCTGTAAGGTGTTAGTGTTGTATAGCTTGGAAATCTGTTGTGGCCATTAAAGACCAATCTTTGAGATGTGCGTTGTCTCCTACCAAAAAGACATTACTGGATTTAGCATTAGGGTGATACATCTCAGGGTTCAGCCTTACATATGGTTTGTTCGTTCTAAAATGCCTTATGATATGTCCTTCTTATTCAAGGTTCCTTATCTCAACTGCATCCAAGGCAACAAGTGATGAGTACAAAAAACACTCTCCATGTAAAATATTTCATGACAGGCAAGAAGTCGGTCATGCATCAAGACCTTGTTTTTAAATCACTGGCTCAGAAATAAAAGTTTCTATACACAAGGATTCCCAGGCCCAGGAAACATTTACAAAGTTTAAAGACCTATTCTGTAAATGATAAACCAATGAAGGAAAGTAAAACTGCTACAAGCTGTTTAAAGAGAAACGAAAACAAAAAGAAAATGTAGACCAAGCCATTCTACAAATACGACTTACATTTTCATTTACCACTAGTTTTTTCAGAACTTAAAGTGGTTCTCCAGCTTCCTGTAAAAAATTAAAGTCATCAGCTGTAAAAACTATAGCCGCTGACCTTTAAAAAAAACAACCACTCTTCCCCTGTTAGGATCCGCCAGGCGGAGCCCTCCGTCTGCCAGCTGGTAGACCTACCCAGAGCGTGGGGTCTAAGCCCGGGCTGTGCTTTCACCAGGGCCCCTGATGGTGGGGATGGACTTGAAACAGTCCCGGGCCAGGTCACGACCTCTGAGCGGGCCACCAGCGGCCGAGGAGGCCTCCGGGGATGTATGTAGGTACCAGGAGAGCCAGCTGTGAAGAGGATGGCGGCCCCAGCAGGGTGGTACGGATAGTGGCCCCGTGGGGTAAGCGGGGTACCGAATCGGCGGGCTAGGAGTAGTCGGGTCACACGCAGGGTCAGCCAGGTAAATCAATCCGTAGGAACAGTCGGGATAAGCCGAGTCAAAACGCAGGAGCAGGCAGAATAGTCAGAACAAAGCCGGGTCAATCACAGGAGCGGGTAGAATAGTCAGAACAAAGCCGGGTCAATCTCAGGGGCAGGCAGCGTAGTCAGGGTCAAAAAACAGGGTCACAGCAGGAGCAGGTATTCAGGATCACATATAGACCTTGCGGCAATTTGTGACAATGCAGGGCATCTTTAAATAGTGCGCCCTGCACTGTCATTGGCTGGCTAGGACGCGCCCCCGGCTGTCATTGGACGCCTGAGGCGCGCCCGCGGTTTCTACTGCGCATGCGCGGCGTCCTGTCAGCCGCGGCTCGCCGGGACCTAGTTCCTGTGTCCCGGCGTGATCTGCCGCCAATGCGCATGCGCGGGGGACAGAGCCGCGATTGCGGCAGACGGAGCCGGGATCCCTGACATTGCCCCCCCCCAACGGGCACCCTCCGGGAGCCCCACTGATCTCTCCACCGCGGGTGAGCACGAAAAAAACTCCCAGATGAGCCTGGGCGCGTGAACGTCCTGGGCGGGTTCCCAGGAGTTCTCCTCAGGACCATAACCCTTCCATTTTATCAGGAACTGAGTCTGGCCCCCCCTCCTTCAGCAACTGAGGATAGCCTCCACCTCAAATTCCTCCTGGTCACCTATGGCGATTGCCTCAGGAGGTCTGGATTCTCGGTCTGGGAAGGGATCCGGTCTGGACGGCTTCAGGAGAGATACATGAAACACAGGATGTATTTTGAAAGTCTGCGGAAGCTCGAGTTCGTAGGCCACCTCGTTGACCATTCGTTTAACAGGAAATGGGCCAATGTACTTGGGTCCCAGCTTCTTTGAGGGGCACAGCATCTTCAAGTTGGCTGTTGCCAGCCAAACCAGATCTCCTGGTTGAAGCAGTAAATCTCCTCTTCTCTTTCTGTCGAAAGCCTTCTTACTGTCCTCCTGGGCCTTAGCGATGGCTTCCTGAATAGTCTTGTTGTTGACGGAAAAGAAGTTCAAGATGTCCTGCGACGCCGAACCCGGGTACCAGTACCAGATTTTCAGGCATTAGATCAGGGAGGAATGTGGGGTGATACCCGTAATTAGAAAAGAATGGCGATTGACCCGTAGCTGAGTGACTTGAGTTGTTGTATGAGAACTCCGCAGAAGGCAACAACGTCAGCCAGTCATCCTGGAGATAGGAGGTGTAGCATCGTAAATACTGTTCCAGCGTTTGGTTGGTCCTCTCGGTTTGACCGTTGGTCTGCGGGTGGTAGGCGGACGAGAGCGACAGCTTGATTCCCAGCGCTTTACATAGGGCGTTCCAGAACCTGGAGGTGAATTGCACCCCCCGATCCGACACAATGTCTTCGGGGACTCCATGAAGCCTTACCACTTCCCGAATGAAGATCCGTGCCGTTTCCGGTGCCGATGGGGTCTTCTCCAGGGGCACGAAATGCGCCATCTTCGAGAAGCGGTCGACGATCACCATTATCGCTGTGTGGCCTTGGGATGGTGGGAGTTCGACCACAAAATCCATGGCTATCATTTGCCAGGCCCGCTTGGGTATAGGTAATGGACGCAACAATCCCCATGCCCTACTCCTGGAGGGTTTGTTCCTTTGACAGGTGGGACACGTCCGGACGTAACGCTCACAATCCTTGATCATGTCCGGCCACCAGAACGAGCGCCGTAGCAGTTCTAGAGTCTTCGTCACCCCGAAGTGACCTGCCATTGGATGGTCGTGGCAATGCCCTAGGACCAAGGTTCGCACCTCTTCTGGGACCATGATTCGGT